TTTGGGAGACGCCCACAATGTTAATTGCTACAGCAGTGATAATGATTACACTGGATATAATCATGATGAATATAACAGGTACGGTATTCTCTCAAACAATTGTTACTAGATGACTAATTCGAAAAATTTCACATAATGATGTCATAATATTATAAGTAAATGATTAACTGCAAACAAAAATTTCTCATACCAATCATTACAGCAATAACCATGCTAGAAATTAATTAAGCTCAGTAGTTATATTTCAAGATTAATTTTTCATGCATTAACTTAAGACAGTAGTATAAAACAAAGAATTGACCTTGAAAATTGCCACATATTTGTTAATTTAAATTTTTTAAAGCTTAAAATAGAATGAATGATTTATCTTGATGAAGTAATACTGTTATTATGTCATGAATGAAGACTAAAAATAAATGAGCAGAAAAATGACTTACAGAATAGAATCAAACAGATAAGTGAGTAAGTAAGTAAGTAAATAAATGAAAAAAGATTAAAAAAGAACGGTTGATGAATTGATCAATTCAGTAATAATGTTTATCGCTAAATTTATTGCCTAATTTGAGCAGCTCTGCAATACAGCAATACTATTTATTTATCCATGCATCCATCTTCACGCTTCTTATTTAACTAAGCACTTAGATACATAGATAGATAGATAGATAGATAGATAGATAGATAGATTTACATACATTACCTGCTGCCTGAAAATTGATACGTGTTTGCGTGAAGAAATTTCTTTTCATTCTGCAGTTATACGAACGATTTATTGCACAAATAAGTGGAAGTGAATGATATTCTCTCAAATTCACTTCATTTGTAACGCAAATCATTGCTTGTGTTAAGTTGGTGCCAATTTATGAAATGGTGATTGCCAGACAAAATCGTTGATTATTCATAACATTGTCAGCCATTTTTATTGTTACAAGTGATAAATGGCTTGTCGAGAAGCACTTCGTACACATACATACAACACATATACATATACATATACATGCACATACACGCACACGCACACGCACACGCAAACACATAGACATTCGAATACTTAAAAACTAAAAGAGTATTCATATATAAAGCATTGGTGTATAAAAAACTCGGCTATGTTAATAGCTTCATAAATTATTTTAGTATGTAGCGTCTCGCAGAGATAAATTTCTCACCACAAACATATGTATGTCATTATGACTTGAGTGATTGAGGGACAGAAGAAAGTGAAGTTTGATGACAGCAAATTAATTTTTGTAATGCAAAAAGTGTTAAGAGGGTAGTGTGTCAATAATGCAAATCATATTTCATCTTTTATTTACAATTTCAAATTTTCAAATTTTCATTTCAATAGCTCAAAAGAGGTCATCATTTATTGCTGGCAAAATCTACAGTTGCATACAACATTTAATCTTATGAATAGAGCGAAAATGCTTACTATCACAACAATTCTGTACCAACAATTAATTACATTAAGCATTTATTAACTACAAATGCATTGTTTTCTTGAGTTACATCTTTTTTCTTGTTGCAATATTAACTACTTCAGTTTTATGTGAAAAATGTTCTTAAACAGTAAACATTTTGCTCTAAAAATAGTCGATGAATGAGTGAGTAGATGAACTCTCTGAATTGAAGATGAAAATAAATACGAATAGTGAAGTTTAGGTGCAACGAATTGCCTAGCAATTGCATTTATTTTCTTATCAACTTACAAATGATAGCACATTTGCATATTGCACTTTAATTAAAAATTATATGAATAAATGTAATTTGCTTAGCACAAACAAAGCAAGCCGTAGTGTATGCTGTTTACTGTACAAGGAATCAGTTATTAATGCAAATTTAAAGTTATTGCTTCATATCATCCATGTTTTTACGTATGGAACAAATTCGTAGCATCGGTATAAGCAAACTTTTCTTTTATTAGCATTATTTGTTGCACATTTTGTCGTCATCTGATAGTGCGAAACAAATTTAAGCATTTGATGTAAACTATTAGCACATAATATAACACATATGCTAGTTCATTTAATAAATTATCAGTTCTGTCTTTCAAAATTATTATTACTTCTATTACAAACTAAAAAGGTTTGAATCAAAACTGACAATCTTTTACTACTTGCCTTCTACTACACTATGTGATGAAAAAATTTCTTCAGTATTGACATAGCATTAAGATGGCTACTATTAATATGGTAGTGATAAAATAAAAAATAAAAATAAAGCAAAATAAACCAAGTTTAATGTAACAGATTGTAGTATTTATCTTTGAAATGCTGTAGTTGGTGAGGTCTTTTTCTTTTTTAACTGTTTTGTTCAAGAGAAAAGCTATTTCATTTATAAGAAAATAAAACGAATGAATTGAATTTTTGTGGCCCGTTCAATGTTGTACACAAACACAATCATCCTAAACCAAACCATCCATCTAATAACATGTAATTTGCACGAGAAATGCTTTGCTTCTGATACTGCAACCATTTTTTCTATCCAAATGTCCTTAATTTTTCCTTTTCATTTCTCGTCAATTTTCACTCGTAACTCAAATTACTCTTTATAGCTGTAATTTTATTCAAGTGAAAAAAAAAATAAAAGCTTTATACTGATACAAATTTCAATATTTACTGCCTGTAATATCTAATTATTCATTTGAAACGATTTAATGGCGCTGCAGTATGATCACTGCATGATGATGTATTATCTATTATTGACAAGTTTAGAATAATATTGTCTGCAATTTGTTCTCTAACTTTTCAATGTTTCCAATATTAAAAAATTTGTAATCAGTAGTAACTACCAATATTTGTTTCCTTACATAAATGATGTCTCTTTTTCGTTTGTTTGCTTTTCATTATTTATTGCAATAAGCTGATTGATACCAATCAAATATTTTCTTTCATTTTCATTGTTATCAATAAGAAACCTAATAGAAATATCAAACAAACATGCATATTCGAAATTATTTTTTCTTCTGCTTTTTTATATACAATGTAAGCACAGTATAAAATAGTGAAAAATAGTGAATTATTTTTTTTTACTTGATTGTTCCATATTTTATCTCATCAAATCAATGCAGTAATAATACTTTTGTACTTTATAGTTAAACTACTTCTCAATCAAAAAGATAAAGCGATTTGTAATACTAAAACTATGGAGGAAAAAAAAAAGAAGCATTTCCGGTACTACGGTAATGGATAGGACGATAAAATTCAATCCGTATGGTAGCGAAAGTTTGTATAATATGGCTCGAACAACAATAAGTCTTTGTTATGAGCGACCTATTGGCGATAAATTTCGATAAAATACGATCAGTGCTCGTTTATTTAGAGTGCAATGAAGCATGGCCTAAAATTTAATGCAAAATGCATGTTTGTTTTCAAATTTTGTTTTTTTTAAAAGATACTTTCAAAAACAAAAAAAAAGAAACGAATATTTTATTGAAATTTTGATGCATAAAAAGCAAAATAAGTTTGAAAGTTCAAATTTGTAATCATTTGGGATCAGTTTGAATAAAATACCACTGAAAATTATTGTCTAAGCTATGTTGACAGAAAAAATCTTTTTAAATTGCAATGTACAGTCATGCTTTACAGCAAAAAGTTATTCATCCAGGAATATGATAAGTTATTTTCAGGATAAAGTCTTTAAGTGCAATCATCACTATTTTTTATTACCAAATGGTAAGCTAGCTGAAAATGAAAAAAAAAAGAAAAGAAAGACTAAACAGTAATTTAAAATAATCATAATACGGTATAGTTTGTGTAAAGTAAAATATCATCTTTGCTAGGTATTATTAACAAATACATCATGAACAACACAGCTAATTGTAATGGAATATAAAACAATGTTTTTAGCTATATAATATGCTAATGAAAGGATGCCTCTAACACACATTGTACATTATGATTCCATTTCATATTTGAATCTCGTATAAACATTGTTTTCAGCTGTACTTCAAAAAAAAGAATCAAAATGAAATCATTATTGATGTGTGTGATATTGAACAAAAATATTACAAAAGTTCAACCTAAAAGCGCTATTTGAATAAAGTATTTGAAATAAATTTAGAATTTTTGAATTTAATGCAATTACTAATCAGGTTTACTTATTTAATGGAAGAAAAATTGTAAAAACAAGACTTGGAAACTCTAAATGAAATGACTAAAATAAATGTAACTTTTTTACTCCTTGTATGTACATGGATTGATCTGAGATTATTGAAATATAAGATAGCATAGATTAAAATAAGATCAAAACGATAGATTGCTAAGTAATTTTTGCATTCCATATATTATATAAATATTTTGAAGTATTCAAATATACTGAATAATTGTATTATTTAGATATTATAAATGTATTTAAAAATTGTATTTACACCGAGTCTATCAAAAATCAGTGTCTCATCGGTCAAAACTTAATAATGGAAGTGTCAAGTCAATGGCCAGTGGTTGACTTTTGAGATACATACTAAATATATGTAAGCACTTACATGTTTTGAGTATTGCTACCATATTCAACCAAAAATGAAACGAATATGTGGCGTTTTATATATAGATTACTTTGACAGTTTTGGTTCCAATATTTCTGAATGAGTAATTGAATTGCGAAAGAATGACAGAATTAAGATTCCGTATCAAGTACAAATTTTTGGCTAATTGTGTCCAAACCAGCCGGAAATTATTCACTTAAGAAAAATGCAATGGTAATAGTTAATTGGATACGTGTTAGTGTTTGTAAGCGGTCGTGTTCAAGTTTTCCTCTTTGTTTTTTTAGTTTCTCTCAGTACATGCTGAATATCAGTCTTTAAGTTTATTACTAGTGTTGATGATTTAATTGCAAAGTTGTCTTTTTAATCAAATTCGGTTTTATTAATGCAGAGTTTTTCAGTTATGCTGCTACAATTTAAGAACATGATTCCGTGATATTTCGTTGTTTTAGAAAAAAATGTAAATTAGTGAGATATTTCAATTATTGCACCATTTGTTTAATTATAGAAGTAGTCTTGAACGCTGTGTGAATCAGTCTTGTTGATAATGGCCGATGGGAATAATACTCATCATAATCTGAGACAAAGAAACATACGCAATGCGACGCATACTTCAGATACTGATAGCTGCACTCAATGCCAAAATATGCATTGCAATAGGCTTGTTTTTTAGAGCCATTTCAATTTCAAATTACCAAACTTTGGTCAGTGCAAAATACTGAATGATGTAGCATTCGTAAAATGTTTATTATATCGATGCTTAGTTTCAAATATATTGATCAGTAGAAATTATTTATCAAAGCACATTGATGTCATTCCTCAGACAGTTCAGTATTCGTTTTCATATTCTGCAGTAATTTCAGAAACTATAAATTTGAAGGTGAAAAATGCTTTTTATGATATTCTTTCCTACTTTGTATTCGCTGAAATTTTAGAGATATCAGAATGCATGGAAGGAATCTAAGAAGACATTCAAACTACAGTAGTGGTAGTAGGGCTAGGAACCAAGCTTTTGAGCTTGGCCTACAGCGTGAAAATAACGGGGTTCCAATTTCCAATAATGACAGAGATTCTTCGCCAACTCCTTTAGTACGCTTATACTTCGATTATTTTTGTAACTTTTAAAATTGCATTTAACTACCTTTCAGTTCAGACATTTTCCAATCATTAAATCGATTCGTTATAGGCTCGATCGGATCATAATGGCGTTAAATTTCGAGGAAAAGTGTCAGAATGCGATATATGTTGTCGTGAATCTGATGTATTTGCTGTTGGAAAGTGTTTACATCCAGTGTGCATGGAATGTGGGATTAGATTACGCGTTCTGTGTCGGAATCAAATCTGTCCCAAATGTAGAGCAGTCATTGATGACGTAATGCAATTCCTTCTCTCGTCAATTATCGTCTCTTCGATTGTGTCTGTTGTGATCATAGGGAAAGTTCGAAAGAAGTCCAAATGACTTCATTTGTTCCTTATCTCAAAAGATGACAAAAGAATTCAGAAAACAAGAAACGTTGATGTATGGAAAGCTTTTGACAAGTTAGATTCTTTCCCGAAGAAAGATCGAGGAAATCTGTCGTAACTTTTAGAAATTAGTGCGAACAAATAACATGTCTTTTAACATAATCTAGCATGTAATTTTTAGTTATATTTCGTGAGGTTTCCGGGTGATTGGGTTGGTTATCAGTTACCTCTTCGATTCTTAAAACATAAGGATGCTCAGGAATATCGAATTCATTTGGCTGATGATTACGTAGTGCAGTGTTACAATAGCTATTTGTCCCATCCGTGTGTGTTATGTGACAAAAAGTAACTTTTGATTTTGATTTCAAGACTTTCTACGTTTTTTTGTCGCTTTAAAAATGCATCCATTATTAAGACATGGAAAACGGATATTTGATTCATTTGCTTTACTATCCCAACATATGCTTGCGGTTCATCGTTTCGAGTATTGTGGTATATGTGTGGAAAACCTGTATCTCTTTACTGTTGAGAGAAAATTCTATTCCCGTTCTGATCTGGAACGACATATGAAGTCTGGGGATCCAGACAATCAGAGTTTTAAAGGTGGAGTTTATTTTGTTATGAACCTAAACATTTCCGTGAAAAAGATTCAGTCAGATTCATGCTCTTAGATCTTTTTTTTTGGAATGATGTTGAACTGCTTAATAATATAAAGTGTGATGAGTAAATATTGCCTCTTCATGATTTAGATACTCAAATTCAGGAAAATATCTTTTTAAGGACACCCGCAGTGTTGGTTCTGTTCCACGCGCTTTTTAGATGACGAAGCTCGTTACAAACATCTTCGAAAAGATCATTTCTTTTGCCAACTTTGTGACGCTGATGGAGTTGATGATGTTTTTTTTTCGTAAGTTGCGCTTCATTTCTATACCATTCGAGGATTATGAGATTCTTGGTGTGGTCTATCACTTTTCGCCTTTATTCTCGTTTGGATTATCTTTCAAATTCTGTGTTTTTAGAAATCACAGTGATCTTCTAGACCATCACAAGTCGCTTCATTTTGTTTGTGAAGAGGATCAGTGCAAAGTACTTGGATTAGCTTTTCGAACGGAGACTGAGTTGAAATCACATAAGGTTAAGTGCTTCATTGAGAAATAATTTTCCAAAAGTTTATACCTTATATATATATTCCAAAAAATTTTTGTTTTTTAATGCACTTACATAAGGTTTATTCCCATTTATATTTTTATTAGTAAAACTTTAAAACATGATAGTGATGCTAAAATACCAAAAATGTAATGCCATTTGCTTATGATTTTGACTTGAAGTTGTTGTATGACTGAAATTATCAGTTGCTCAGTCCAAATTGATGGTAGTAATAATCATCGGTTTTTCGTTTTTGAAAGTTTTAACTTTTTTTTCGCAATAATCTTTTCTTGCTTTTTAGAGTCAGTATCATGCAGCAGGTCCACAAACAATTACTTTGAATTTCCATTTCCCGGACCGGAACATGTTGACTTATTCCCGGATTGGGAGAGTTGCTCCATTCCCTTTACCTAGGAATGCAGATCGAAATAGTCTTGACACAAGGTTTTTACTGCATGAAGAACAACTTCAATTCTGAATTACATATCAATAAAATGATAGTGGAATTGAAAAAAGTTATAGGAACGTTAGCAAATTTGGCATATTTTTGATTCTGATTAATATATGCCTACATTTACATATTAGTTCACTTAACATGCTTTTATATTTGTGATTGTGCTGCAGAATTTCATGTAGCTATGGTATGACTCCTTTTTAGAAAGTCAAATTGCAGCATAAGTAGTCAGAGCAGTACGACTCCTGCTCTACCAGCAGATGCAACGAGATCATCATTTTCAAATTTCATGCAAAAATTCACGCTAGAGAGTTGTGATTTTCCTCGTTTGGAAGAGTCTACTCCGTCTTCTTCATCGCCATTGCAGCTCACATCAAGTTTCGCACCACGGGCACAAAAATCTAAAGTCATTAAAAAGTCTCAGAAGGCAACTACGAAACAAGAGATACCAGCAAATGTAAATTCTTGCATGATTTTTTTTTCCTAGAGATTTGAATTTCACTGTCAGAAATTATTACAACTTTCATATTTCAGATTCACATTTTTTCTTCTTTCATAATTTACTCATATTTTAGGCCAGTCCGATTCGTTCACGAGATTGGTTTATTGATGATGATGAGCAATACCATGCTCATAAACGTCATTCATCTACTGCTGTCGGAAAAAGTGATATCACAACTGGAGATTCTGATGAAAATAAGACTAAGGTTGAGATACTATTATTATACAGTTTAAGATAAGTTTTAATTGTAGTTTAAACTGCTATCTCACTAGTTTTTTTCAGCAGGATTCCACCAAATTTTACAAATATATTCTCATTATTACAATTTATTCAACTTAGTAATTATGGAAGTGTAGTTCCTGAATGTCGAACATAAATATCCATTTTTTCTCTAGTTGTATTCAGTTTTTATATGTGTTTAGGTAACAGAAGAAAAACAATCTTCAGTGACCACCGGACTTTGGAGTCAAGCCATAAAATGTGTGAAATCTCGTAGTGGTATAGTGCCATCATTAGAATCGAATAATTTTCCGAGCTTACCTTCTGCACGAACAATAAAAGCACAACCACCAAACAGCAAATCACTCAATTCAGTTTGGACTATGAGAAATTCTTCTGTTCTGCAGGTTTTTAGTTTCACAAATTTTCTGTTTAAAATTATATGGATTGTAGATGAATCCATACATTTCTTTTAATTTTAATCAAATTTTTTGTTAAAAGTGTCGAGGTTGCTGCACAGTAATTCTGTCTTAGTCCCAAAAAAAAATTTTTTTTAGGGAATATATGCCCATTCTTCTGTTTTTGGTTAATACAGTTTTCTTTCTTTTTTTTAAAAAAAAAGTCAGCATAGTGTTAAAGAAATCTTCTCATATTCAGATTTAAAATCGTTTGATGGTTATTCAATTTCTTTGACCACTGTTATAGATATCTTTTTACTAAAAAATTATATAGATTCCGAGAAAATTTTACAGAGTTTTTCGAATCAGACAACGGCATCCTTGCCTAAAAACACTCAGTGCGGAAGCGTAAAACTACCAATGAAGGATGTGCATGAAGCAATCCCAGCAAAATTGGATGATACAGGAGAATCAACTGTTTCTTCTACTGTAATGATTTGCAATTTTCGAAATTGACTAGCTGGGTAGACTATTGATTCCTAATAGAATTTTGTTTTGATCTCTCTAACAATTGATGTGTAATAATTTGAAGGGATTGACGCCAAGAATTTCGTTGGTCGACATGATTACTGCCAAAACTCTTCCAAATAAAAAAAAGATCAGAAATGATAAAAACAAACAAGAAAATGAATTGGCTGCTGCAACAAATTCACGTTTATCAACAGTAAAGACCTGCACATTTTTTTTAATCAATCTATTACCGCTTTCAGTGAAACTAAATACAACGTTAAAAAATGACCTCTTAAAGTAAAAAATGAAGAATTGTCTCACAGCTCTCTCATTGTCCTTTATTCTTTTCTACGTAGATTTACATAGATTCATGCGACGCTGTTTTCTTCAATTTTTGCATATATATCCGAAGTTTTAACTAGATACTTTGAGGAAATGTCTATTTTTGGCATATTTTTGCTATCCGAATGGTAGGAAGTATTTGTCAGTTGTAGTCTAATTTAAAAATTTGGAAAGATAGATGAAGACTTATTATTACCAGTTCTGTAATTTGATTGCAACTGATTCATAAAGGACAATTTCAGTCTTTATCAACTTTTTCCTCTACTGGAGATGATGCCGAAGATAAAGATGAACAGAAATGTTCGGGTACATCTGCAAACACTGAAATTGGTGCTTTAGTTGATTCAGTTGAGAATTCACCGAAGTATAGTGAAAATTCAGCTACAAAGGTTGCTCTTTATTACGGTTAAAAGTTTGGTAGGTTTAGTGATTTGAAACAAATTTCATTTTGATTCTGGTTTTCAGAGTTTTAAGTCGGAACGGGAAGTCACCAAAGAACTGCCTTTGTCAAATCTCCAGCTATCTCCAAATTCAGGATTTTTCGCTCCTCCTCCTGGATTCGGCCCACCACCAGGTTTTGATACATGTGAAGGGGAGAAATAAAGCTCCTAGTTATTATCTGAACTTTCTTGAATAGGAGTTATGATTTGTTTGTAGCAATGAAAACAAGTTCAAGAAAAAAAACAGATAAATACTGTTCAGAATCCCATTAGAATTTCTTTCGCGGTTCTTCGATGTCGTAAAAAAATATCGACCTTATTTTCATTGCTACAAGCACTGCTACAAAAGACTTGCAATACTTTGTTTCTATTTTATGATGGTGTTATCGGAACCTTGTACAATTTCTAAATTATGTATCAGTATTTGCAAGTCTAGTGTATAACTGGTGAGTCGAATGCTTCCGGTTATTCGTATTGTTCAAAATTTTTAAAGTAACAACCTGCCACTTGTTTGATACATTTTTTGTTTTTGATCTAAATTTCTTTGTTTTATAAAAAGTTTTGGGATATTTTTATCCCGGTTCTACATGTATCAGCCACATCTCATTGCCATATCTTAAAATCATTAGGAATACAAATTTATTATTTACGACATAGAATATGTGCGTCAATCTAAGTTCATATCATGAATGCTGATATCTGCATATTTGTTGCCTTCAGAATACATTTCAAAAGTATTATTGGTTCCGGATGAACTCTTTCAAATTTTAATCATGAAATTGTGGGATATTCGTTTCATGTTATTCCTTCGTGATCTGCTGTGCTCATGTTAGTTTTATACGGGATTGCATTTGGAGTTGAGGTCGGTGAGTAGTAGCATCTTCGTTTTACTATTGTTATCTCGGATTTCTCTTCGCCGTTTCCGTGACTTGTTGATGGCTGGTATGTAATAATCTGGTTGCTCTGTTATGAATTCGTTTCTAACGTCCCTTTTATTTGTGACAATAAATATATTTATTTAAAAAAGCAGATTTATGATTTGAATTTAAGCACTCTGAATTTATACAAGCTTAATAAATTGAGTTCATGCATTCCAAATGTTGTTCAGCACATTGTTGTATGGAATCATCATCTCATTTTCACTTTAATGGAAATGAGTTAAGGATGTAGCAGTTTTTGCAGTCACAATATTTGTATTGAGTAGATGAAAGCATATTACTTTCATCTTTAGGTTTGGGAGGTTGTTAATACATTTATAATGGGAATTTCGACACTCGTATGTTCATCTGACTAATATTTTATATCTAACCTGAAGATGAAAATGGAGTATATTGTATTCTATAAAATTGGAAATGATGAACTTTATTAGATTGGATGGATATTGGAATTTGGTATCTTACTGGAATGAGTAGTATTTTACTTTAAAGGTCGCACTTAGTCTTCCAACTGTGACTTGAAAAATTATGGATTTTTCGAATCATAAGGTAATTGATTCCTTCGCACTTTTGTAAGTTATTACGTAGGCGTGCAAATGAATATGAGTAAAATATCAGGGCTAAAGATTGATGAATGCAGATCATGGATTTTGGAGTAATAAAGAACCTCAGAGAAGCAGATCAATATAATTACGCAATTATGCTACAATATCGTAATAGGAAGAGCTAAGTTATACCTTTTTATGTGGCAGTATACTGGTTTGTTTCGGTATATCAGTTGTTTGCAGTGGTAAATTCGCACGTAAAAAATGACGAGAAAGTTGCTGAATATAAAGCGTTACGGACGGTTACGAATACATCTAGCGTATTTGAATCGAGTTGTGTGTATTGCATATATCAACTAATAGTTAAGGTATTTTTATATCTGATGCGTAGATTGCAAACGTATCATTTCTTTACAAGTTTATCAGAGTTCCAAGCTGACTGATAATTGAATTAAGATAAAATATCTATTGAGTGTAAAAATAATAAAGTAAATGGAGAAATAACAACTTACTAAAAAATTCAAAAATTTGCTTACTTCTCAGATATTCGAAGTGTCTTTTTTTGCTCTACTTATTACTTTGCGCACTGAAATACTAATATTTCCGACTGGACTTGCGTATTTTATATTTTAGTGTATTCAAGGTCTGTCATTAATGTGAAAACGTAAATTTTTCATGACAGAGATGATACAGATGAAATTTGAATAACTACATGGAAATTTGAAAAAGTAATCGTAGACATACTAACTCAAGTCTTTAGAAGTAATAACTTGCATATGATTTAAATGAACATCCAAGAAGTTATTGTGCAATCTCTGGCATAACATGAATGTTACTTTAGTACTTTTTACGCATTTCTTGAGCTTGATGTGAAAATCTAGCAATTTGTGCTGTTACATATGGAAATTACTGAAGTATTATCTAGTTATTACTAGAATTCAAGAAAAAATGGTACTTTGGTGTATCATTTCCCATCAAAACTGGTCTCATGAAGGATGATCATTTATTACGATTATATTTTAAGAAAATTCAAACAGTTTACAGATTATGTTTACTGCCAATTCAAATTGAAAAATCTTTTCACTGAAGAAGGGCTGTCCTCAGTGATCTTTCATACAAAGACTTTTCAAGCTAAACTTTATGTATAATAATTGTAAATGTTTAGACAAAACACAATTCTTTATTCCAGAGGCTATCAGCCTTCACATAATCTTATGAAGCCTGTGATTCATTCAGGAATTAAATTATCGAAGTGAAACGATGGGTGATCATCATTACCTGACAGTATTAGATGAATCAAATAGCACTCTAATATTGCTCAGGTAAGACGACATCCATTCGTTTTCAAATTGGATTAATAAATAGTCACAGTTTTTGGTTGTCGTAGCTACAAAAATGTATAAAAGGATAAAGTGAATGAATAAGCTAGTCAATTAATGTTAATATGTCATGAATGTAATGATTACTGCGTCAGCACTGATGTTACAATCTTTCTGTAAAGTTTGTAAATTATGTAGCATTGACAAGAAAGTAGAAGAATTTATTAAAATAAAAAAATTAAAACTGTTCTCGATACAATTTAGAGCTTCAAACTTT